TATATTGTGTGCATGATATCAAATGGTTGATTATGAATTGAGATTCAATTTATTTGGATGTTCGACGCTTTAGATATGCTTACTCAGCTTCATCGCTGAGCGTGTAGTATGTTTTCATTGCTACACGCATGTAGACAAAATGAGTGAATGGCATGTTCTTGGCAGCGGAAGGGGCGAGACAGTCGTGGTGGATTTATTGAGAAAATAAATGATTATGTTATTATGAATCCTGTTTAAAAATCGCTTCCGCATTAAACACTCCGTATTTACTACAATTATGTTTGGAATTTCATTTATGATGAATAAAGTTATTTGAAATGTTTTAAATTATACGATTACCAAGTTAATACTTTAGTTCGGAAGGGGTTGTAAACCTGGACGGATTAGGGTGTTACAGGCACGACATTAGTTTAATTTCTTCTGATTAGCTTGGGTGAAGATTGGTTAGAACGATCTTCTCACTTCTTTTTTACCAACCACCCGTAATATTTATTATGGATAACTCCAGTGGTTATTACGGACCGCCTTCCTTCAACCAATCACCCAACCACCCTCCGTTTCAAACCCATCCACCTTACCACCCACATCAGAACCCATATGATGATGACTACCAAGTCAACAATGGGTCTGACTAATATCCCTGCCATGAGGAACCACCATATGATACCCCGTCTAGGAACTTTGGATATTCTCCATACCAAGAAACTGATGGGGGCAATTGTTATGAACCTCATGGTGATCACGATGACTATGACCAATATGGGCCTATGTACGATGATCAACCTGATCCACTTGTCGAAGAAATCATAAGATTAGACCAGAAAATCTTCTATTTTGACGAAGTTCTATTCGCTGAAGGCTCTTGGTACGAACCACCCTACTCTCGTGACTACACTTTTTTTGCTGAAGAACAAATTGAAGCAAACAAGGTGGCAATTCGAGAAAGAACAAAACTTCTTGAATCAATCCGGAAGGAAAAGGAGTTCGAAAGGAGATTATGCGAAGGATCAGATATGATGCAGAAAATGCTAGATGACTTCCAAAGAGAGAGACTAGAAGGTGAGGCTAAAGCTGATAAATTAGTCAATGATCTCTGTAAGGCTATTAAGCTTAAACGCTCCCTCCAATCTCAAGATCAAATGAGGGAGATTAATGTTCAAAAAGAGGCTCTAGAACCTATGACCAACCCTGAACCCATCAACCATCAGGTCCCAGTTCTAGAAGATTCACCCAGACTAACACTATCATAGAAACCTGAGAGCATAAAAACTCTCACTAGGGCTACTGTGGTAGTGTTAAGTGAATCTCTACTCACGAACTACGTATAGCGGTAAGTCAACAAATAACCGAGTTAGACTCGAGTCGTTCTCTCCAGGAGTGACGAAGGGAATAGTTAGTTTTATTATTTATCACAAGTAAATTTATATTCTAAGAAACGTGAAATAATAAGAAATAAAGTGTCAAAAATAAATGATAAAATAACTTGAGGAGTTAAGATCGGAACGCGGACTTAACACAATTTAACTCATCTTTTATTAACAATTGGACTAATGAAATGTGTAGCACTTATATTTAATATATCTCCTATTTCTAGGTCTCAATATAAAGCATAAATGCTAATCTTATATTTAATACATCTCCTATTTCTAGGTCTCAGTATTAATTATAAGATTATTATATTTCCAGTGCATCTCCTATTTCTAGATCTCAGTACTGTGCTAGGAAATGTTCGACTTAAATAATTCTAAATCCTCATAGACAAGGCAAGAACTATTTTCCAATTACTTAATTAATAAAACGTTTAATATTATTAATTAGTTAAAACCATTCGAAACAGTTATTTCTAACCCTTCCTATTTCTAGGTGTTCAGAATGTGTGGCTTAATTAACCTTTTTACCTCATAGACAAAGTAAAAGATTAATTTCCAAAGATTAATTAATAATAAAAACCATTTTATTAATTAATAAGGATTAATTCATTTTCTAACAATGAATCCAATTACTAATAAATAGATGAAATCAAATTGGTTAAATCTTTATTCCGAATCCTAACCCATATATATATTTACCAATTCATAATCATCATAATAATATATAAAATTTTCAAAGACATCAACAATCAACAAAATGATAATTTACTCATAAAAAGTTTAATAAAGTTTACAATAAAAAGAAGAGTAAAACTTACAGTGCTTCAAGAATTTGAAAATTAACTTTAGATGATGAAATTTAACCAAAGCGAATTTAGTACAATAATTAAAAGTAAAAAAAGGGATTTTTACCCCAAAAAGGGGAAAAACCAAAAATTGGATCAAATTGGAAAAGGGAGGAATCGCCGGGCTTTTTAAGGAGGAGGTCGACATATATGCGGGCAAACCGGCGGCCGCTGGCAAGCCCGCCGCCGCGCCGCTGGAATCCACTGGAACCTTCTCGCCGCTGGTCGTCATCAACAAGCGGGCGGGCAGGCGGTAGCCTGCCAGCCCGCCGGCGTTCTCAATCCCCGCCGGATCTGGTTTTTTCTGCTGCCGCCATCTTGACCGGCGGCCAGGCAGGCGGTCCCTGTCCAGGTCGCCTACTCTCCCGTTCCGGTCCGCCGATGCTATCCTGCTTAAAATTTCGTTCTGAACACTTTTTCCTTGTGCACCGACTTCTAATTCCGCACCGTTTGTGAGATGAAATTATTTTTCTATTCAAAATTTACTCTTTTTACTCCATTTTTGGTCCAGTTTTACATATTAATTCAAAATCCTTCTTTTTATGATCTATTCATCAAAACATATATTTTTGACCAAAAAGAATAAGGAATTTATTGTTTTGATAACAAAAATGGTACAAAAACGAATTAAATATGAGTAAAAGGATAAGTACGATACGGTCTTATCAATCTCCTCACACTTAAACGTTGCTTGCCCTCAAGCAACTCATCATCTACCATCACAAGAATGAAGAAGATTGTTTGATTACATTCTCAGATCCTACTTCCTTGCAATAATTAGTTAATTTCATTAGCATTAATTACTTCATCTTTTTCTTTATGTTCTAACAACTAAATATCTCATCACTCTTTTCAAAAATTTAACAATGAACTTATTTAAAAGTTTGCATGAGTAAGTTTTTCTTCCAAAATCCCCTAAGGTCAGTAATTAATAACGATTTATAGTCTCTTGGTCCACTTATCTCAATTAACATATATATTTGTTTTTTTGTTTTTTTTGTGAGTTATCCCATAATGCCCTTATTATTGCTTATGAATTGTTTTTTTTCTTTTAATAATAATAGAAGGGCAGAGCTCCAAAAAAGATAGGATACTCAATTCAGCACATAAGCGCAAGCAATTGGAAAAATTGTTCAGGTTGTGGGTTTATCCCATTACATATGCATACTTGCTCCCTCCCCTTATGCGATTCACGGGAGAAGCAGAGCTCCTTTCGGAGATAGGATTCCCAATTCGTCACTAAAGCGCAACCCTCCCAATTAGCTTTGCTTATTTATTTCAACTAAATAGTAAGTGACCAAAAGACTTATAATCGTTATGTAATTAACAACCTTAACTTACTCAACTAAAACCCAACTCATGCACAATTTTAAATAAACGTTCATTGTTAAATTTAGAAATCAGTAAATGATTATTTAATTTATTAGAGAATAAAAGAAAAATGTAAAGTAATTGATAACTAAATTCATTAACTGATTATTGATCAAGAAAATAATTTCCTAGAATATAATCATAACTGATATTCCACCTCCTCACACTTAAGCTAGACCTCGTCCTCGAGGTCCAAATGCAGGATGCGAGTAGAAAAATCAAAGTATGTCAATCTTCCTCACACTTAATGTGAAGCATATGATGAGAGGCAAGATTTTAATGATCATAAAAAGTTAAAAATTTTGCCAAGATTAGAAATAAAATGCTATTTTTATTAGAAAATTATTTTATGCATTAAAACACTTGTTGGGTGCGAAAACTGGCAAGGCTCATTGTGATGGCTTCCGTTCGTTTTCCCTGCAAAAGAAAAGAAAACAACAAAATAAAGGAAAAAAACAAGTGCACAGTGTGTGAAAGTGTGAAGAAGAACTATTGCTAATTTTATTATTATTATTATTATTATTTTATTATTATTATTAGTATTATTATTATTATTATTATTATTATTATTATTATTATTATTATTATTATTATTATTATTATTATTATTATTATTATGACGGGTTGCCTCCCGTTTAGTGCTAATTTAACGTCATTAGCTAGACGCTATTATTCCTAAACTTGGTAACGTAAACAAAACTAACGGAGCACTCTCCTCGAGAGTCTCGAGTTTCTTCTGAATTATCGCCGTAAGGTGGCGCAGACATGTGTATTCATGAAGCCAAAGAAGAATAAATACTTTATAAAAAGATTTGAACACACCCCATCGTATGAAATAATCCAATAATGGCACACGTTTAGGGGTGTTTGGCTTCATGAAAAATGGCTGAAGGAGACCCTCATTTTGTGATAAATTCTTAGATAACTCAAAAAGGTCTCCTTGAATTATTATTCCTACGGGACTCTCTTCAATATATAAATTCGGATTAGGTTCAGCACGGCCCCCTAAATGATCAATGCCCTCGTCTTTTTGTAAGACATCAACTTCAACCACGCTCGTATGTTCTCCATTTATCTTTTTAGGAAACGAACAAACAGGTCCTTGTTCATCTATCTTCTCCTCTAATCTCAACGGAGAAACAATAGAGCTTTCCTCGGGCACTACTCCCTCCAACCCATTATTGTGATTTTCACTATTTTTAATTGAATTTACTCGAACAAGAATACCTTTATTAAGCAAGTTCTTCAATGTTTCTTGATATTCTTCTTCAAAGTTAGCCCAAAGATTTTCTTGTTTGAGATAGTATTCATTTTCATCAAATTCCTCATCTTGAGGTGGTTGGCCTAAAAAGGTGTTCCTTCTTGCGCTATATTTGATTCAACAATTTTATCCACCTTAATTTCCTCATCGTCAGATTCATCAGCTAACCATTCATTTTGATGAATTTTACTAGATTCATTAGGTTTGAATTCTAATAATTCATAGAGATTTCCAATTTCCTTAAGAATATCTTCTTTTTCATTATTGAAAATCTCTAGATTAGAATCAGGGTTTAGAGAAGAATAAGGAAAAGTATAACAAAGATCACCTTCTTCATTTACTAAACCCTTCTTTTTATGAAATTTATCAAAATCAAGGTTAGTATATCTCTTTAATTCTATTTGCCCAATAAAATTTCTTATAATGCGATCCATGACATTTTTTATTGATTTTAATTCATTACTTGGTGGTCCCAAAGTGGTGAAATACAAAGTCTAGAGGGGG